TGAAGTAACACAAATCTGTACGCTTTCGGTCTCTTCATTCCAGAATTTATCTGGCCTAGAAGCAAAAATTAATTTTGCTATCTTCCACAAGCCAAGAATAAAAAACGTTCCCCACTACTCTCCAGTGAGCAAATCTGACTTACGCTGTACTGCAGTCTCGGTAAGTGCTATCCTGTTTACTTTGGTCATGGCAGCTGCACAGCAAGTGAAACTCTTGCAGTTATTTGCAAGAGCTCCCAAATCCCCTCACTGGCAAGCACGCCTCAGTACCTTCTCATTTCACAGACACAATCCCCATGCTTTTTGCTCTAGGACACATTCAAATGCCATATAAATGGCATTTTACAATCCCATGGAATAATAGCACTGGGCACGCATTTCCCCCTCTCTACTTCCTCCTTCGCTCTGTCAGGGAAATAAAAGAGGAGGAAAACAGTTTCATCGTAAAATAAGAACAGCAAAAACTCTACATTTTGAGCTTTTTCCATTTCCCCAAATTCTCGTAAAAGAGAAGGAAAGAAAAAATTATCTCCAAGTGCCAAACTACTGGCAATTCTAGGCTGTGTTTTATCTACGTCATCTAAACCAAAGGCCAAGTACCCAAGAAAGGCCACAAGTTAATAGCTGTAATAGATGCAGCAATTAGTAGCTGGTTTTAATCCACAAGCCTAAGAACTAGTTTTTATATGTGAAGCCCACACAAAACGTTTTGGTTTCAAAGGACCTTCTCCCCTTGCCCTAGAAAATCCAATTTTATTTGAAAAAGTCTTAGCCCGGTCTATCAGGAACCCCATCATCTGTTACAGTGATAAATTTTCACTCTCTGCCATGTTACCACCGCAAACTTAGAGGCTGAAATTAAAACTCAAGTTCCCAGAAATCTAGAACAATTCAATTATTGGCTGCTACACCCCTTTTTACTGCTTCCCTTCCAGAGGAGGGTTCGGTCCAACCTACATTCCTGTAGCAGTGGCTATCTGGGAGACCACCTCACCTCCAGGAAACGCACACCCAAAGCTCCAACAATTATTCTACGTGCTAAGCTGGTTTGCTCCTGCATTAGCTTTCACCAGCCCCACCTCTGTTCTAATTGAGCTGTCTGCTTCCTTTGAGGGCCTATGATAAATTTGTCTGGTTTAACAACTGGAGAAGCCAAAGTGGCCAAATAGAGCGAAACCCCCAGATACTCCCCAACAGACACACGCACCTCGTCATTCATAGGAGCTGTTATAGACACCATTCAGTTCAATAGCTTCACTTCCACCTTTCCCCAATTCTTTCACTGCGTATGAAACACTGTTTCCAAAATACACGTTCCTGTTGCTCTTCACTTTTTTCACATTTGCATTTAGCACCCCTGTGCTTCGACTGGAAAAAAGCCTTATCACAACATGCCCGAGCCACTAAGGCAAAGTAAAAATACAGCCCTTTCTCCCATCCGTTTGGTGGAGGGATTTCCAGTACCACTAAAACACACCAAAGTTTCTATCTTACTTCTGCTTTTCATGGTGATAGTTATGATTCACGAAGGTACACACCACAAGCTAAAATATTGGCTGACTAAGGTATACCTCAAGAAAAAAAGCCTTCATCTTCTCTGTTGTTGATCATTACAATCTGCTGATGCAAACCAACTTCATGCGATTTACACTTTTTCAGATTACATTTGAACAGCTACACTGCAGTAGCCAAGTTTTAAAATGGGCTTTTTGTGTTTTGTTTTGGTTTTTTTTTTTTTTAAAGTAATTGAATAGTATTAGATTCCTTTCAACATTTTTTCCCCAGCAGACACTAGTAGACTTTAAACATTTGGGGCAATGTAACAAGAAGCTAGGTTTCGTTTTGTTTTTTTCTATTGTTTAATTTAAGCTTGCAGATCCCTAGGAAGAATTTGCTTTTGCAGAACCCTTGAAGCCCCTGCCCCATAGTCAGGATGCTTCTACATTTTAGCAATAAGTAGTTTCTTGCAAGTTTTCTGTAGAAACTTGTTTCTTGAGAGCACAATCTGTAGAAAACCGCTAATGCATTTTATTAGTTTCATTTAGCTGGGATAAGCATGGCCTGCACAGAATTTGGCTGTCTGAGAAGCAGTCGGACTACATTACATTCTAACACCACATCCCCACGGCTGATGCTTCCCTCCCCTGCAACTGGAAGATGCTTGTTTGCTCTAGTCTACAAACGGCACTGTCACAAAACCCAAAGACTCGCAAAGCAACTAAGGTCTGCGCAGTACTCGCAACATTTATAACCTCTCACAGCAAATGCATACTAGACCAACAAAAAGACACAGTTTTGAGAGGCAGAAGTACATACAGACAAAATTCTAAGCTGTATTTTCAGACAGAGTTCTCTTTCCAGCTCTACCGCTGAGCTGCCTTCTGACACCTTCTCCTTGCAGACAGAAGTTCCTTGCTAAGAGTTGGATTTCGTGGTATGTAGCTGGTGAGGAGGCAGGCAGACAGGAGGAAGAAAAGCAGCTTCTAGTTTCTTTTTCGCCTCCTCACAATATTATCATGTTTTCGACCATAAGTTTGTCCACAGCATCAGCATAAAGAAGTGCCAAACTAAATGGTAGTCACTATAGTTAGCAACTATATAGTTGCTAACAATGCCCAACTCACAAAATGACCTAATAATAAATACTGAAAACATGGCAAAAGGACAGTCTCCTAAAGTTTACTTTTAACAAATACAGAAAGCCTTCACAAAGAAGCAGCCAAAAAGACCGGTTTGGGCTCCATGCCAGCTCTCTGGCATAATACTCGTTCTGTTAGCGCAATAGCCAACACTTTAAAATTTGGCTGACACACCCAGGAAAGTGGCTCCCAACACTCTGTATGTGTTTATACAAATAGCCAAGACTGAGCTTACACCAGCATTCTTAGGGTTGGTTGGTTCGTTTGTTTTAAAACGGAGCGCCTGATTTAGGGATTTCAGCATCACAGAACTAGGGCAGGAAAAAGTATTTCTTAATACCAACTGTTGTGAAGATGAGATGAGCCCATCTGCAGTTATTCTACCTTCAGCATCAGTTACGGTCATATTTGGGAAGTCCAATTTAGTCTTCTTATGCCTCACAGTACACAAATGTTAGGCCTGAATTAAAAGTTAACAAACTATTTTTGTAAGCTTTCTTTCCTTGCAGTAGGAAACAAACCCTCACATTTTTTTGCCAGGCATTCACAAAGGGCTTCTTGAAACCTCCCATCTATCAGTCTGCCCCTTGAAGATAAAAATCAAACTCTACAGGCTTCCGCCCTCAACCAAGAGCATAATTTATATAAAACAATGAATATTCACTACTCTAAGTGATTGCACCATGCACGCAGGGAAAAAAAAAGTCTCTGTGCAATAAACTATTTTGGAGAAAATTAAATGACTAAATACTAAAGCCCCAGATTTTCTCAGTTGCTTTTCATAATAAATAATAATCCTCTAAACTCCTGAAGGTGTACCTGGGATCAAACGGTGGGCCTAAGTAAAACCTTGCTACAAACTAAAAGAATTTCGTCTTGGATTGTCCCACCTCTCTCTTGGCTTATCCAGCATCAGAAGGTGCAAAAGGTGGCAAGAAAAAGTTGTGCTCCTCTATAGGTGCAATTTCACTTGAAACTTACTTACGCCTAACTGAACTATTGCCAAAAGATGCAGTTTCAGTCCTGCTGCTACCTTACCCCTGCCGTGTGTACATCCTGCTTCCCCATGTTGATTCGAGCAGTTGCAGAATATGAGTTAGCTTCGCCGATTGAAAAGAAAATTAACCAAAAAAGCAAAGAAATTCCCATCCAGAATAAATCCAACTTGAAGCCACACACCTTGCCCAAAATCGCCACATTAGGCACATCAGAATGTTTCACTTTTAAGGCCTTTTTAAAGGCACAGGACAAGAGATGTGGAAATGCAGTGTGTTCATCAGACCTGAGGGTAATTCCAATGGGAAGGAACCTCAGTAGGTCATCTTATGCAAACTTCTGCTGAAAGCAGATAAATTCATCCTGGAGATGACAAGACATAATCTGCTTATTATCAAGAGTGGTAAAGATTAAGTGACCTGTTAAGATTGAGGAGGAGGTAAATGAAGCCTAAGACAGCAACACATTCACAACAGAAAAAAAAGAGGAAGGAGGGTGCAGGGAAGGTTCACCTCCAAACTTTTGGTTATTTTTAAACCAATATTGACTTCCATTCAACAGGAAAACTGGATCAGCTCCAGTTTAATCAGCACTGCAGCTACGAGGACCACTATGTCGCTCTAGCAAGATGAAGCAAAGCATACAGGATCTTCTTCAGAGATGCAGGAAGCACAGTAAACTTAAGCCATTCACAACATAATGAGTCTTACAGACGCAGGTCTGCCATAGAAATGACACTTCTTTGGAATATTTGCCTCTAGTTAACCTAGAAAAAGCACTCGTGTAAGCATCGCTATCATAGCGGACACATGCATTATCCTTATTTTCTGAAATCGGTAGGATCCAGGATTTACCCACTTTGGTTGGACGTAAGACTGCATTGGCAGAGTGTGCCTGTCATACGTGCACATGCTCTGGGAGCCAGAAGCACTCCTGTTCTTTGCCTACATAGCACATCACTCAGTAGAGCCACTACTGACAGCTGAATTTCCGAAGCACCACTGCGTTGCATGTAAAGCAAATAAACAGCCTTATATCTGCACCACTTAACTACAGTTCTAAATATCTCTCATTTAGGACGCAAAAAAAAAAAAAAAAGACAAGAAGGGGTTGATACTAACTTTTGCTAATCAGGAACAATTTTTTTTAATTGTTTGTTTGTTTAAAAACAAAGGAGACCAGAGAATAGACTGTAAATCCTCCACACTTGAGGGAGTCTATTATTCTAGACCAAACACTCCTCCATAAACCCCATTTTTGTACATAGCTTTGGGAACAACACACAATTTAGATATTACTGCCATAATTGCTAACACATCTATGCCAGTGATTCCTAAGTCAGTTTTATCCTGCTGTGTTACTCACTGCCTGGTGGATGTCAGCCTTCACTTCTTCACTCAGCATTCCCTCAAACACAAAGGAATCGCCAAATTTCTCTGCCTATGGAAAGAACAAAAGATTCAACCATACTATCAAAGGAATGTTATTCTTAAAATGCCTCTCACATTTACAGATTTATCTTATCATGGAGAAGGAAATTCTAATGGTAATTTTGAGTTCTCTTTCAAGGAAGCTATTTTGGAACAGAAGAGGAGTCATTTTATCTCTGGATGTCGTTCTTCTTCAACAGCCACTGGACAGATGGCAGCTCCCAGAGCTTCTGCAAATGTTTTTACTTCTATTAATTAAAAAAACAGTTCCAATTGTCCAATAGTCAATAATCTAACATTCAAAGACATATTTAATTTCTCTTATTTTTCCTTTGGGAATCACAATAAAAGACTTGAGCCTTGTCACTTACTGCTCCTTCATCATCACTAAACCCATGTTTTAAAGTCCTGTTACAACAACAATATAAGAGTTTAAAGTAACCCAATCATTATAACTAGCATTATGTGAAGTCAAAAGAAACAAAAAATACAAGTCATTTCAATGAATCACAGTACACGATACCAACATAGGGTTTTTCCCCTTGGTAAAGCGAATTGATATACTATGGAAGTCAAAGCATGTTACCAGAATTCAACACATTTGCCCTTCTCAATTTCTTCATTTCATTATAGGCATTCAAAGACTGAGAGCGATCACCACGAGCTGCTTCTGCATGCTCAGAACTCTTCAAGAAGAAGAGTTTGAAAGAAGGATCCCACTCACCACCCAAATCGCAATAAGTTTTAGCATATGACCATAATCTTTATACATTCAGTTTCAAGAAGTAAACAGAAGAAAAAAAAAATACTTTCTTTTTTCTCTCGTGCCCAATCTGAAATACCCAGCGAGAGGCAAACAGGTGTATCACCTAAAGGATCACAGATTTCAGTCTGACAGCCTCCATCAAGGGCTTTTTTTTTTTTTGAAGTTCACTTAAAAAATTATTTTTGATTCAACAAGACAGCTGCGCATCTGAAGACTTTTTTCTTCAGCTTTCTATTTATTTTTACATTTCAATTGCCACCGCAGTTCAGTCTAGTCCTTAACAAAGGAAAACCAAGTAGTAGTAGGTTGGCTCTGTTTACCTGCTGTAAGTAACATGAACATTATTTAAATACACAAAAGCCAGCTTAGCTGCGTCCTAAAAAAAACCCTGCAGAATCAGTGCTGTTTACTCTAACTCCAAGTTTATTTTTCCAAATCCAGTGTAAAAGGGGGCCCCATGTGAGGGTGGAAGGCAGAAAGGGTAAGCAGAGCACCACACACCACCAGCTGAGCCATGAAGCCCGCCTGAAGCAGACTGCAGCTGATGCAGTGCTACAAATACCACTGCACATGTGCTCATTCCAGGAGCCGTTTGCAACAAGTAAGCCCTGTCCAAACTCAAAATTGTTAAGCAACCTTTTGTCATAGTTATTGAGCTAAGAACTTAAAAACAGAAATAGTGTCGTAGATAAAAGAAGCCCTTCATCCACCCAGAAGGATCCTGTCTTCCAAATGAGAACCAGCTTTATCACGTGAATTCAGCAAAGTGCCTCCTTTGAGACTTGATCATTACCAAGGCTTTTATTTGCCAAAAAGGCCTGTCAGGGTTTTATAAAAGTTGCGTAGGAACACTTAACTGTCAGGAAAGATCAGAGCGTCAGGCACAGGTAGCTTCTTTCTTGGAAGAACCTTAACATATTCTTACTTAGTCCATTGTTCCCAGTAACATGCACAAAACTATTATTATACATGCTATTATATCTTCTTTAGACAGCAGGGCTTCTATTGCTCAGCTCGTTAGCGAGTAGCTGCGCTGAACTAGCCTGCAGAGTCCTCAGCTGTCACAGTTTTTTAGATCCCTTCACCCTGTTCCTCCAAAATAAGAAAAATCTAACAACATAGTTGTGCTGGTACAAAGATGTCCTAGGTCAAAAAAAAACAAACCAAACAAATAAAAACAAAAAAAAAAAAAACCTGCACAGACATACCCAACCATCTGTTAGCTTCACCCAGGCTGCCTCAGCCATACTGCAGGGAAGATACTAGTTCAGATATCGAGACATTTACTAAATGTAACAGCATACATTCAAATGCCCTTCCAGACCCCTGAGCAGCAAGGCAAGACAATTCCGTCTCTCCACTGCTAACATCAGAAATATTCTACTGAGCAAATCCAAAGCAAGTATTGTGACCTCCCTCAAAAAAAACCCAAACAAACAGGCTAAGTTTTTACCAAGGATTTTAGCAACACAAAGGAAGATGACAGGAGACTGTATCCCTTTGTGCCTTACCTCAGTAACGTACCCAGTAGAATTCACAAATCTCTCAAACTCCTCATTGCTGACCTCATACTGATCCATGTAGAAACCGTTGATGTGGACTCTTCTAGCAGGCCATTCCCCATCTTGCTGTATTTCAGGCTCATCAGTGCCCATTGTGAACGCTCCTCCTGGAATAGCGACCATCTGCAGAGAAAACACCACCCAAAAGATCATGAAAATGAAAGACTGATAAGTCTTTTATCGGTCTTACTCCTCCCCCACCTCATCTTTGGAGGTGCTTTTGCTTTGAGCAGCATTTCACTGACAGAAACAGCACAACGAAATGGCAACAGTGGCATCTTGATCATCCCCTGTTAGGAAGAAATAGGACGCAGAACTTAAAACTGAGAACAAAACCCCCATTTGCAGCTTTTTCTATGTGAAGTCTGGGTAATTCAGAACTTCTACTGAGGGTAATGCTTGTGCTCTAACAAGGAGAAACACATTCCCCTACTGCACCTTAGAGTAAAGAAATAGCCAAGAAACAATCCAGAGTCCTGCTCATTTTTAGATGAGGAATTTTGGCATTTCGCTCTATTCCTAGGAAGGCTCGATGCATCAACGAAGACTCTGGAGATTATGAAACTCTAAAGTGCTCTTTTGTGGACAAGCCTATGCTTGTTTGCATACTAACTACACATGGGTTTTCGTTTAGTAACAGGCACGTGCAGCATTTTATTACCAACCACGCTGCGCCCTGGCAGGTAGGCGCAGCACCTGCAGCTCTGTGTGCCAGAGACAAGACAAACCTTCAAGTCAGTTATATTTCGCTCCCCTGGAAGACTGGCCTTGGACAAGAGCCTCTCTCCAGCTTCAGAAGTAAAGGATGAGTGACAGAATAACATTTTAACTATTTCAATAAGATGATGTGTCTTTAGGGCCTCAGTTTCCAGAGAAACAAAACACATTTTTGTTCAGCTTTAGTGGGCTCTTTTCAGGAAGACCAAGGCCCCCCACCCCGAGGTCTTGTCATGCCTCATCAGATGTTTCCCGAGAGCCCTCTAAAGACCACAGGCTGAGTAACGCACTTCTCCCCCAAAAAACAAGAGCATCCACCATCCCTGCTCAGAAGCTTGGGCTGGAACAGAGAATGACAACTCAGGCTGCATAAAAACTTCCCAATGGGCAGGTGATGTGTCAAGGGCTGGCTACCCAAGAGCTACCTTGCCAAGATCAAGGGCTTGCGCGTGGGTGACCCCCTAAAAAGCCAGCCAGCATTGACACAGGCATCCCCTGTGGAAAATAACCTGGCACCTCACATTGCACCTGAACAGCGATCTATCAACACACACTACTCTTACAAGGAATTCCAGCAGGAGGACCAGTGACGGAACCTAAAACAAGCAAAGCCAGTTCTAAGAGAACTTTTCAGCAGCTTTTTTTTTTTTTTTTTCTTTTTTTTACAAGATCCTGATGTTTGGTGCATAGGAAATTCAAGTCTAATAACAGAAATATTCACTGAGAGAGAAGTTTCCGGAGTAGCACACTTCCAACACTACTCCAGAAGAGTAGTTTAAGTTCTGACAGAAAATGAAGCCCAAGTTTTAGATGTACAAGAGTTCAAACAAAATTCCATATACATATAGTGGAATAACACAGTATGCAACATGTATATTAAAAGCAGCCAAACTGCAGAGATCGGATAAAAATGTGAACTGATGTAACATTTAGATGAAGAGGCAGGTTCCCAGAACCAAACATGAACTTTGGACTTTGTACATATAGCCATTTTGCAGCACAGCCTAGATTATAGGACCTTGATTCTTCTGTCGTTGGAATTTTTTTGATTTTTTCCTTACTCTACAAGATTCTTCTCATAAAGTAGGATGCTTTCACCAAAACAGTTTATCTGGATGCCCACACTGACTCACGAACCAGGAAAACAAAAAGAATCATTAGTTACCTTCCAGCTCCTGGAGTTTACTGTTATTTGCCTAGTTATAACACCACCAGCATAGCGAATGATCAGTAAATAAGTTCCCATCAGCTACCCAGCACCTCTCCCTATTAATAAGAGAATTCGGAGTATTTAACGTAACCTTACATACCCAGTTTTATTGTTTCTTCTCCACTATAGATCTCTCCTTTTGCTTGGATCTCTCCCAGTAACACTTAAAATTCACACAAGTTGCAGAAGGCCTGCAAGAAGCGTTACAAATACTTTTTCCTTTGAACTAACCACATTTGAAGCTAGCTGCATCCTCATAATTTTTTCTCCACTGATCACTTACAGATTGCCTTTAACTGAAACCATAAAAGGGCTTCAGGGTATATTTGCTTACATTTTTTAGGACTTAGGGAATGACAAAGTGGTACAAAGTTGCAGCACTTCCTTCCTTCCAATCTCTGTCCAACCCACTGTAGCTAAAACAACTCCTGGAAGCAGTCTTCAAAGCAAGATTCAGAGCTCACTAGTGAGCTGCTGTCTAAAAGCACGTGAGAAATTAACTCTTGCTTTACAGCCCAGCATTAATTTCCAAACCCTGAAAAATCTCGATAGATTGCCAGTGTATGTTCAGCCAGGAACGCCCAAGGGCTCTCTTATGAACCTGCTGCTTTTGCAGCCCTCTCACACAGGGACAGCTGTGATTTCTGGCACGTCCACCAACGTTGTGTCCAAGTAGTGATTCCGCAGGATTATCCTCCCCCACCAAGGCTCATTTCACAGCTCCACCTCCTGTTTGGAAACAGGACCTTCCTTTGACAGCCAGCTTCATGATAACACCACCTCATAGGCTCAGGAGCAAAGCTCAGGCGTCTGTCAGCATTCTTCAGCTGAGAATGGCGGAACACAACACTAAGTGAAGAGCAGATTTCTGCATAGACATCACATCCAGAAACCACATTTGTATAATTAATTAAACAGCTTTAACATCCAGTTTTAAAATACAGGTAACAAACACAGAGGAACTAATCTCCAATAAATACCAAAGTTGAACTATGGAGGCAGAAGTCCAACAGCAGAGGGTGACAGATACATCATTTACTGTATTAGGTAGAGCGTGCAACAATAATTGCTGTATCTTCATAGCGTCACGTAGCTAGCGCATGCAGTTCACTGTCCTCAAAGCTCAGCTCCAACAACAGGGACTGCATTGGCCTATGGTTATATTGACATTGAAAGTATTACAGTAACATAGAGCAGACCCTCTGAAGTACTAGCTCCCCATTTCTAAAGATGTAGTGGAAATAATCCATCTCAGTTGTGGTTGAAGTAGAAGCCAATTTTTCCCTCACTTTCCTTTTGGTAAAAATGTTTCCTAGCTAAGCATAAACAGGTTCTGATGTGAACATAGATTAAAATCCAGCAGCAATTAGTTTTCATTATCTGCTGTTGAAGTTGCCAGCTGCCTTGCATAAGGTAAGAGTCAAATTACTTTTTCCACCCTACAGTGAGACTCCCAGTGAAATGCTCAAGTTTATTACATGAAATGTAGATCAGTGACATAGTCCCCAAGTGCAGTATAGATTATTTAATTAAAACTCTATAAATATACTCAAATTTCTTAAGCGTAGCCTGCAATAGTGAAGCCATAATTACCACTGTGCATCCTTCCCTTTACCTGTTAAGCATCCACACTGCCTGTGTGACACAGGCTTTCCCCAAGCTCACGTAGCTTCCCAGTGTTACACCACCAGGAGGCAATTAGAGAGACAGCTCCTCACGTTTTTACTATTTGCAAGCTGTCTCGCACAAGAACAAGACTTAAGTCTGCTGTGGTATGATTTTGTCTGCCAAAGTTTACTAGCACTTTTCATGAAATGAAACGGCAATCCCATTTCCAATAACTGAATATATCCAGTGAGGCATTTGGTCTCCGATGACACAAAAAGTCTCAGTATCGCTGTAGGCATCGTCAGAGCACATCAAACCACTTTAAGCACTGCCTTCATCAAGAGGGCACACTTAGCTCCAGATGGTGTCTTTCAGAAGAGCAGTGGCAGAAATAGAAAGGAATAAGCAATTAAAGAGACATGAAGAGAACCTGAAAGGCAATCTAGATGTGTATACACACACGATAGTTTTGCTGAAATACACACAAGAGACCCAACGCATCACTTAGCGGTGTTTCAATTCTATTGATACCAACACAGACCTGAAAAAGATGAGTGGGTGGAAAACCAGAGCCACAGTAATATTGATAATCACCAAATCAGGGACTACACTAACCGAGCTACCACTCCCCAGGCTGGACAGACATGGACAGCCCCACTCAGGCACACGTATTTGTGGTGTAAAGGTGTGTAAAGCCAAGTAAAGGTGTGTGTGTGTGTGGGGGGTGCTGCCAAAACAATCAGTCAAGAAGAATCCCAGACTGGTCAGGGTTGGAAAGGCCCTCTGGAGCTCCCCAAGTGCCACCCCCTGCCAGACCAGGGGCCCTACAGCAGTTGCATAGGACGGCGTCCAGGCGGGTTTGGGATGGCTCCAGAGCGGGAGACTCCCCCACCTCTCTGGGCAGCCTGTGCCACTGCTCCGCCGCCCTCACAGCAGAGAAGTTCCTCCTCATGTTCAGATGGAACTTGCTATGTTCAAGTTTGTGCCCGTTACCTCTTGTCCTATCACTGAGCACCACTGAAAAAAGACTGGTCCCATCCCCCTGGCACCTCCCTTGAAGTATTTATAAGCGTTGATAAGATCCCCCCTCAGTCTTCTTTACTCCAGGCTAAAAAGCCCCAAGTCCCTCAGCCTTTCCTCATAACAAAGATGCTCCAGTTCCCTCATCATCTTTGTAGCCCTTTGCTGGACTCTCTCCAGCAGTTCCCTGTACTTCTTGAACTGGGGAGCCCCGAACTGGACACAATACTCCAGACACGGCCTCACCAGGGCAGAGCAGAGGGGGAGGATGACCTCCCTCGACCTGCTGGCCAAATTGAACACCTCGATTCTGTTTGTCACATCTCGGCTTTGCGCGGGGAGGCGCGGTCAGGATGAACACAGGTGGGGACTCAGAGAAAGCCACCAAGACAGGGGCCTAAGCCTCTCTCCTTCTTCAGGAGCACCCGGGAGACGCCGGAAGGTCCCAGAATGAGGAACGCGAGGCGGTACCAGCCGGAGCACCCGCGCCGAGGCTCTCACGAGTTCGGCCCCAGAGGGCCGCGAAGCGGTACGATTTCGAGTCTCTACACACAAAAGCCCACTCGCT